TTCCTTATTTTCTTTAACAACCTCTTACATTTTCCAAATATAATAAATTTTATACAGAAAATATTAAATATTACAGTTTTTAGAAAAATTCTATCTGATTATATGTTTCATTTCACACTTCAAAATGCCTTTATCAAAATTTTAACTGCACCATTAATTATCAGTAATATTTGCAGAACGTATAAACAATGACAGAAAGATTCAACGAAGTTCAAAGGAACAATTACTTATTAATTCTGGATAAGGAGAGACAGTCATTTCGCATGAGTCAATGTACACTATGACAATCAAGGTCCAACAACTGGTTAACTTGGTACGTTTAATTGCGAGACTACAGTCCGACGCCCAGCGAATGCAATTCAACCAATGGAACTACCAAAGTGGACGAGAATAATTACATCGTTGATTGGAAACTCGTGTTTACCGACGATGTGGCAAGCATCGAGATTATCGTGACTCTCCTTAATCGTGAAACAATGATCGTGGACGAATTAGAATTTCATGATCTGACCTATCTTTAACACTGTTCGATGCAATTGGAGATTGAGATCGGTGGCTAATTTATCGATGAAACGAAAATTGCGAAACTATCCGCGTTCGTTTGCGATGCGAAACGAAGACACTTGAGGGAAAAGAAGAAAATTGAGAGGAATTTCAAGCGGAATGAACTACGTTCTGTCGAATTCGTGATATCTGTATCTGCTGGCGTTTGCAGAAATACGAACCATCACGACGTACGCACTTTTTCGCGACATTAGCCTTCGTCAACGACCAACGTTGCCTTCTCGAGGAACGTTCGTTTCATTTTTCCGATGAAATTTTGTAATTGTACACAGAAACGTGGAAGTATCGCTTTTTGGCTTCAGTTTCGTCGATTATTGAATTTGCAATCCTCCGTTCTCTGATTTCCGGCTACTAACGTTTCGTTTTCAAAAATGAAGACCATTTTAAGAAAGATTCTAGTTTTATTCTGTCGAATCAACAGTTCAATTTTTCATTTAATACAACATCATAAATTCGACTATTTGGCATTTTTGTAACAATCGATTGACTAATATCTGTCAGACAGTGCGCGAATTCGAAAACTGATGTCTCCTCGAAAATTTTGCGATCAAAGCGTTCACGCATTTTTCTTACGCATGTTTACTCGTGTCTGTGCGTGTAATGTTACAAGCATTAATGTTGGTTGCAAAACTCGAAACAGTGGTTAAAAAACACCTGACTCTAACTTCTGAACGTAATAAAGAACTTTCTAAGCTGGTACATTAAATTTGAATAAAAGATCCACCTTTAGGTCCATTTTAGTCGACCGGTTGGGTAAACTTGAATTATCAGACAAATCCAGAGTTAATCGCTAATCGATCGGCATTAGTTTCCGTTTCACGGAGAAGACAACTCTAAATCCCAGATTCCACAATTATGCGGTAGGTAAGCTGATCTCGATGTTTCGTAATCGATGTTCAATTTCAATTTCCCACCGCGAGCCCATCTCGTTTGCATACTGATCATCGTTGCGATTCTGAAACACACCTCGATAGCAGAATATTTTTGGATTCACTTCGAACCTCTTGAAACCCATTCACCTGCCGAGCCTCTGGTCTTCTTTTTTTTTAATCTTTGAATCTTGGATGGTCTAAATATATCTACTCAACCTTTGTGTATTCGTTGTTTATCTTTGCGAATGAAAATTTCCAACTAACGTTACCGTTTTTTACCCCCAATTGCAAGGGCTATTTTCAACCTCTGCTTATTAATATTCCTTGCCGGAGTTCCTTTACTGTTAAAGCTGACCTAACACGCTGAAGCATGCACGCGTGTTCACGTTTGCGTGTAACAAGAAATGTTTCTACAACTTTACATGTCTTCGTGCAGACGTGCTTACACGTGCCTTTTCTGCACGCTGCATAAAGAACGAAAGCTCGTACGATACAATCCGGGTCGTTCTGAAATCAATGACTACAGGCTGGATTGTTTAATTGCCAAGGCAAGTGATTTTGGGAGCAGTCAGCAGAAAGTTGGAGGTGTTTAATTAAAAGTAATAATTAGTGATATAGATAGATGGAACTATGAATGCTAGTTTATACTACTGAAAATAATTCTCTAAATTTTTTTATGATATATGTTTTCAGCAATTCATTATAATAATATAAAACATAATTGGAATTTAATATCCTTGGCTAGAAAATATAATTATCTACTCGAGAATTTGAAACTAATGATCATAGAACCTCTATTGACTCTAACGATCCATCTAAAATTATAGATCCTAGAGTACCAGCTACGATGACCAACTTAAAATTAGATATTTCCAACTGCCAACCATGATTCCACCTAAAACTATTAAAACTCCATTACCGACCCTAAGGACCACCTAAAGCTGTAGATCCTGGGATACTAATTTTAACAATTTCTCTAGAACGATTATAATAACCCTTTCAAGATGAATTCCTAGCTTTGACTAATCAAAGTGTTCTAAAGTATGAAGCGTATAAATTAATTTGAAGCGGATACAGGCGGATATTGAAACACCTGTTCGGACTCATTGAAAATGAATCAATTTGTAACTACCGTAGTCTGAATTTCCAGAACTCATGTTATTTTTACGTAATAGTACAAGCACGTGTTTTCTCGAAATAAATCTGAGAGATGAATATGCAAATAGAGGAGCCAACGAGTCAACGCTCGACTTTGAGATCGTGCCGGAAAGATATCACACTCGAGAGTCCCGCTATCTATGGTCATTAAAGTCTTATCAGACGAATTAAAAACGACACACGGAGTCGCGAATGTGAGCCTGGGAAAAATGAAAAATGAATGAAAATCAAACGCTTGTTAAATAAAACAAAGGGAAACAGATACTTTCACTCCATATTATTCTCTACTTTTTGAGTTTAAAATCATTTAGAAATGTTCTCTTTGAGATTTAATTTTCTGGTTTTATTGTTAAATAAAACAAAGGGAAACAAATTCTTTCACTCCATATTATTCTCCACTTTTTGAGTTTAAAATGATAAAAAAAAGGTTCCCTTTGAGATTTAATTTTCTGGTTCTCCTGTTTTAATGACGTAGTCATTATCAGGTAAAAAAAGGTGTAACACGCGTACGTTTTAAGTATTCAAACATTCACATTCTTATCTCGTCGACTTATCATTACGATTGTAAGTTCGTCTATTCTGTGACGTCAAGTTAAACATGACCCGACTACAGTGTCGAATTTACCTGAGGTTTGATGATTCTTCGCTTCCTTGCCAACTAGGCATACATCAGCACAAGTAAAATGAATGATAAATTTACTGAACATCCGTGAAATATATTAAATGCATCTCGAATGAAAATATCATGGGGGATCATCTATGATTGCTATTGCCATAATGATTTTGCCAAATTAATTGTGTGTGCAATCATATAATTTTTTTTTTTAAATCAACGCTTGCATTGAAAAGCAAGTGTTACTTGAGAATAATGAGGATTTGCGAGGGAAATCTATACAGAAAACTTTCACAATCTCGCGACTTGACGACCTCGTTCCCTTGACTAGAATCTGCTTCACTCCTTTTTTCCATTGATACAAAGTGCACGTATCTTTGTTTGAATGAATAACTTAAGATACATAGTAATCGCTACCAGCGTTCATTCAGAAAACTGTTCGTCACAAACAGTCTCTTTCATTTTATAACATTTTAGAAAGAGCTGAATTTCTCAGTCAATTTCGACCCCACGCAATTACCCTTCATTAATTCTAGTTTCAATTAAAAGCGATACCAATCAAGAGGCATAAATTACGATTTGTTTAATCGAAAAATCAGCGGCACGACATTTCAACAAGAAAGAAGACGACTAGTCGGTAGAAACAAATCGTGGGATCAAGGAATAATCAACGGTCGGGTGTAATTAGTACCCGTTAGAGATTAACCGAGAAGAGAATTCTTGATCGAGCCACGAAGCCACTGATTCGCGAGAAAAGATGAGCAGAGATAACGGGCCATCGCGAAACTAATAAACTGTGCGAAATTAGTGGCGGTACACGGGACAACGAAAGGTGTAGGCAAACGTTATGGTGCGTGCCGCTATCTGGGAAGCCATGGAAATAATTATGCGTCCATATGTACGGATAAAGTCGTCGTTGTATCGTGTACGTTTATTACGAGACCGTTGGTGATCCTCTGATTACACGACTTTAATATTTCTCTGGATAAATCCGGAAGAATCTAATGATAATATTGTATTTATGGGACGATCGAATTTATTTTGAATTTTGCATAAATGGACCGAAACATTGGCCATGGAAAAATATATATATATAAATTTTCCTTCTCAAACTCGACAGAAAATTTACCGATTAATATTCAATTTTAACCCTGGCTGAGTATGAATCGCAAGGATCACGAATTCAACGGTAATTTTTCAATTCTCAGAGGAATGCTGACTACGATTCGCCGAAGCATCATCAGGTGTACAACGAAGGAGTCTCGTCCAGGCAATACGAGTACTTAGAATGTATGTACAGGTTGGGTAGGAATATGAGTATGGTCGGCAGTGAATAAAGGTTCATGCTCGCATATGTCGGTGTGGGTGTTTGGTATAGGTGTGGGTGCTTTGGAGCAGCGGCCTTACAAGGACGTCTGGAAGTTCTAGCTTTCCCTGAGAGCTGTTGCACACCTTGACTGAGAGACTAAACGCGTTAACGGATCTTTCACAACTCCTCTGTTCCTGTCTGATGATACTCGAATTACTTCTCCGATCATTGAATACATTTCGACTGCTTCACCTCTGTATATACTTTGTAAAATTGATCACCCTATCATTCTATCCATGAAATTGATAGCGATGGATAGAACTTGGCTCCTTAAAACTTTGAAGCTCAAATTTTAGTAGGTAATTTAGAATTAATCGTTAAATAAAATTTTCCCTAGGAAAGGCTGCTCTAGAACGCCATATGTATTATTATTTGCAGATTTCCAAACTGTCTCCTCCGATGGAAAATAAAAAAGAAATCCTACCTTCATTGCTGAAGCTCTCCTCATCGAAGACAGCCCGTCCAGTGGTAGTCTCGTTCAAAATCTCCTTCCAGAATCCATCGAAAGTCTCTATACCGGAAGCTCGGCTGTTGCTGGTGCGTATACCAGTCCACAACACCACCAGGAACACAACGAGCAGCAATATACTCAGTATGGCAGCGATAGTTGAGGCGCGATTGGAGATTCGCGACATGTCTACGACTCCTCTGCCGGCTGAACACATTTACTCGCTTCTTATTCGATATCCACCACTGAAGATTGAACCTTTTTGGTTACACTCGAACGGTCAGTCGATCATTTTCGTCCGTTCGTGGTAGCAGGGGGTCATTCGCCACCCTCGAGCGCCCATAGAGTACCTCTTCAACTTGAAATCTCAAGGCTCCTCTTTGAATCCTGTTTCCAGCCAGCTAAATCCAACCAGGATCCGCGGAATGCCCATTAAGAGGCACGTACGATCTTCGATTCGCCTTGCACCGCGAGATATCTACTTCGAGATGTCGTTATCTCCGATGCCCGATACCTTGGACCTTGTTGTTACACCATCAGCACGCTCAACATCTGATTCGGTGAGATTCTTTCGTTAAAAAGTAGTCATTCTCCAGGTTGAATTATCCTGGACAGAGCACTTGTTAAGGTACACGATGAAATGGATTTGACGATGGTGGTGTTTGATGGTCTGACATTCGGGGGGGATCGTGGGTTGTTCGATGGTTAAATAGAATCCTGGAAACAGAAATAAATAGGAAATTTTAATGAATCATCGATGGTCCATGAAGCATCTTTAATTTCTTATTTATTTTAAAAAATTATTTCCATAATATCGATGTCTCGTGAGTATAAATTGGATCGAACCCCATCTTTGCTAACAGAGAAGGAACAATGGAAAAGGAGTGGGACAAAGGATGAAAGGGTGTTCCTTCGCAGGAAAATCATTTCCGTGATGAGGCCATCGGCCAAAGATGATTTCTCCGTGTCGAGCAATTTAACCGTGCGAATCGCCGTGAAACTGATTCGTGCCGCGTTAAACATTTACGACGCGGTGCGTCGTTTTCTTATCGCAACGACACTGAGACCACCGTGCAAATAAATTTCCGATCGTATCTTCGAGACGAGGTTTCGCGATTAATCGACGCGTCGCTGATTGGATCGAGCAAGGCTCACGTTAATTTGGAAATAATTGACTCGGTCTACGGTTAATTCTGTTAAAAATCACCTAAACTATCGGTAACTGTTATTAACATTCTTATGAACTTAAGGGATAAACTTGTTAAATATGGCGATGGTAATTTATTTGAAATTGAATCGTTTTCTTTACATTATTCCATTATAGTCGTGATTTTTCTTAATATAGGATTAAAATCATTTACAATTTTAAATAGAATCCCACTTTTAAAAATAGTATGTTCAAAAATCAGGAAAAATCAAGATTTCAGATAAAAATAACGTTAAAATATCGTTTCACGTTTGCAGTAAGAAAACGAAACGCTTTTGCGGCGCGGAGCCCTTGAGCTCTAATTTACGACAGCCATCGAGGAGGATTGCAAAGGCGAGCAAGAAAAAAAAAAGAAATCACAGCGTGTGTGCTGGTTGTTCATAAATCGAGTAGGCATTACATCGAACCAGCACGAATTAGTCTGGTTAAGTTTTCGCGTTGCTTCAGAAGCTAAGATGCAATTTAATTAACCTTTAACCGAATCGGTAATTAGCCTAACTTCTAAAGCAAATAACACTAAATGATTTCTTTCATGTATTTTATCGAATGATCCTTTCATCTTGTGTCTTCTCTATCGTTTGAAAAAATTTTTTATCACCGATCAATGTGTGATGAACTCTTCGAGGATCTATGGAATGATTTATGGATCCATAAAGGTAAGTGGTCACAGACCTTTGAGCGATAACGTGCGATTTATAAAAAGATCAATCGTGAAATGAGTCATGGTAATTTTTAACTTTGCATTTGTTTGAGGATAAATATGATCAGTCTGGAGGATGAAGAATAAAATTGGGGTAAAAAATAGATTGAATAAAAACAGAGGAGAGATGACTCAAAATATAATAACCTCCTCATGAAATATATTTTCTATTTTCACGAATAAAAACATAATTAAGGATACTCAAAACAACCCTTTCAAATAATAAATTAAATGAACCACCCTGTGTCTTTAAAATTACTTAAAAATAAAATATAATTTTCAATAAAATACTCTCTACTTCTGATCAGCAGTGTATACAAACGATAGTGTGCATTACAGAAGATACTTGCAAACATAATCGGTGCGCGAAATCAAAGAATCGTGATTTATTAAAAGGAGTAAAAGGTACAGAGAAACCACAGATGCGGTTTGCGTGCAACATAGTGGCTACTATTCTTCATGGCGATATCACGAGAGCAATATAACCGGGCTGGTAATGAAAGCTAGAGGAGAGAAGCGTTATAGAGGCACAGTGTTAAGTCTGCGGCCACGACGACGTTGCCGGGCAAAATATAAAAGCGGCGCTCGACGTCGGCTGCTGACCTCGGAGTCACTTAAGGTCTGGGTCAAACTATTCTTGTCGCGTACCTTTCCTAGCCCGATCCATCGATCGATCAATCTTTGTCCGTGAATTTCTGTCTGCCGGTTCTAACGTGCTGACGCATAGTTTCGCGCGCGCCGTGAACGATCGACGTTTGCGAAATACCGTTTCAAATAGTGAGCTTTTTTTGGCTCCTACGATCCCTTTCCCTTTCGTACGATCACTCGGTTCATTGATTTTAATATAATAATTCATTCCGTCATTAAATTTATTCAAATTTGCCGCTTTATCTATATTTTCTATAATATTATTAGTTTATTAAAAAATGAATATTTAAAAAGAAAAAATAGATGCTCTTGCAATGCATGTTTAATCACACAAACGTGTTGTGAGCTGGTTCTAAATCCACCATGCAGAGATCGTTTAGGCAAATTCGCGAGGGTTATAAATGCTCGAAAACCGCAAACACGTGCACATGCTAAATCTTACTACATTCCACGCGAACCGTCGATGTTTATTAGAAGCAAATTCTTTTTCAATTTTATCGGAGTATAAAATAGGAAAAAAAATGAAAATTGTTAAATAGCTGAAATATTGTGTTACGTGAAATGTGTTAATTAACACGCGTGGTCGACACACGTTCTAGTCAAATATTATTATTATTATTTAACGCTCTTCAAAGTAGTGGCGTTCATTAAATTTCAATTCGCATTCCGGCGCCACGATCCAACGAATCGAATAAAATTCGAACGTGCCCCGACCGTTTGCGGATCCACCGTCTGGCATAAACAAAGATATAACCAGTGATAAATTCGGGGAAACATTTGGAACGTCTCCACCTGACGAGCTTTTGACAACTATTTTTTCCTTGAAAAATACTCCTCTGCATCTTTTTCGTGCATCGTAGATTTCGGATGAAATTGAATTCTGATTATTTTTTCTTCAAAAGTCACAATTTTACTAATTATTACGATTTTGTTCTACTCTACTAATTACCTACTAGAATGTAGGTTAATCTAAAAGGAACATTTAAATTTAAATTAAATACAAATTCAGACGATTAAAATTCAAGTGTACACGGCGCTTTAAATATGCATAGGACAGAAGAATACTTGCAGTGACCCACTGCTTATCCAAATGCATCGAGTACGAAATTTTCCATGGACATTGAGACTGTTGATCATCCTCAATTGAAAGAAGCACCCAATAGTCTGTCCTTGAAGAAACTCTGACCTGGCATCGTTCAACATTTTCACGAATAATTACGTAGAAATAAAAAAAAGAGAGAATCTCGAGTATCTGCAAGGCAAAGTGTTCTAAAGTTGAAGCTACGAAAATGAACACCACTTGATGGTTAATTCGAAAGAAATTCAAAATAGAATTATTAATCTTCGAATCAAGACTTCTAAGCTGAAAGTTTCGTAAGCTGGATTTTATAATTCAGCTCGTAAACTAAAGATGAATTTTTCAAATTTCTAAATATAAACCAGCTTCTCTATTCTTAATACAGATTGATAAATTGAAATATAATACGGCGCTTAATCGTATCGTACAAGTTTTTGGATACATTTAGAACGGAAGCTCCAAAACTGATCTAAACTTTAATATAAAACTCCCATATAGATACCGTGCTATCTTCTTATCGTGCATTGCCCTCTTCATTGGATTTAAACGTGATGTCTTCACGAAATTGTCATTCTAACTTCGAAAAAAATCAATCTATAGTGATATCTGTGTACTCTAAGCAGACGACGCACCAGGTGAGTCGTTAAATATCTGAAACAATCGATGACACACCACGAACGTCTTGAAATATGAAGTCTTAACAAATTAAATTACGTCTGAATGATGATGAAAAAAATATAATTTTTGTTATACCAAAGTATCTTATACCAAAGTGGAGATGCAATAGCTTGCATCTAATCACCGGAGAAAAAAATAAAAATGAACGAATGGAAGGTAGACGATATTAACGAATTCAGATCGGACACGTTTAGATCTAAGATCGGCGACGAGTGTCACGTTACTTCGCAATGCTTCGGAATGCAAAATCGACGACGAACCAGCTCGTCTCGTTGCTTACGAAGGCTCCTCTCGTCTTGTAATGTTGAAACCTCGAGATCATCGGCAAACAACGCTCGGGAAGATTTAAAATCGCACATCGATGCGACTCTATATAATAAAAAAGACGGATAAGGAGAAGACGGAATTATGAAAAATTGAATGTCGTTAGTTTTGTGATAACCCCAAACTCCAAACGACACTAAATGTGCAAATAAGACGAAAGTCTGTAAGTGTACGTCAGCTGCTCCAAAGATCAAAGCAATGTCGTTAATTTCTTTATCAAGAAGAAAAATGGAAAAATTCAAACACGGTATTGTTTGAAAGTAACGCCGCCAAACTTCAGCTTGATTATTATGGATTTTTAATTAAGTTCAGCCCGAAATGAAGTCTGATTATAAAAAGCCGTGAAGCTCGTTTAACCTTTATTTACGGCCTTCAGCATTAATGCATGAGAATACGAATAATTTACAGGCGGAGTTGTTTAAAAAAAAAAAAAAAGAAAGAGTCGACGACCAGAGGGACGCAACGAGGAAGGGAATAATGATTTTTGTAAAACAAGCCTCTGTTCGAAGAACATCCAAACCGGCTTCCATTTTTGATCCCTAGGTTGACTAGTTTCTTCGAACTTTTTGCAATTCCAAAAGAATGGAAAAAATTGTTCAATATGTAAATCTTATTTCCTTTTAAAAAAATTTAAATAATCAAATGCTGTTCTATAAATTTTTAAATAATAATTGAGGTGCTTGTAAAATAAGTTAGTTTTGAAATAATCTTATCTGTTACAAGTTATATACTTTACGAGTAATTAACAAATATTTTTGTAAATAATTTCAAAACAATGTTATGCTCAAAGTACTACTAAATTAGTTTTGTTACTTTTGTTAGAAACAATCTGTCTGATGTTCAAATGAAACATTCATTTTATAAGATGTATTGACCAGAGTGAACAATTTTGCAATATTAGCTTGGAGATGCCAAGGAACACGTGTAGAAAGACATCATTGATCCAAAATTGATCAAGGACGTAGTCATCGTTCTTTTTAGAGAATCTATCAACTTTCCGAATCGATCGCATGGTAAATTTGTAATTTAAATCCCTATTTAAATATTATTATAATAAATGTTAAAATGAAACATTTATTAATGATGCTACCTTCTATTTCCAGGCAGTCATATGTTAAATAAAGTAACTATAAGAACTAAAAAGGAGTACACGAATAATTTTTTAATTTCCGTCAATATCGGGTTAAATCACGTTTGATTAATAATGTCAATAGTAGAAAGAAAAATGATCGTCAGATTTTAGCATCGTGTACTAAAAATAAAAAATATATAAATATTACATAAGTTTGCGGTGCGATAACGATGCTTCGAATCTAACCTCGTTTTTCGCGCGTATTCTTTAAACAAAGTACTCAACAATCGTTAACACGACTGCATACATAATTCGTGCTGCTCGCACGAATAAGAAATGTCCAAGATAAGAAACAATACCTCAATTATCTTTTACGATAAAAAAAACCTTCTTTCCATACGTACACACTGTTTTCATATTTCTGTTTACCGACATCTTTCCCTGCTTTCCTTAAACTAATACATACTTTGCACATGCGTACGAAAAAACCCCGCCAATTAAATCTCGTTTGAAATATTCAAGAATAAACAGTATATAATTCGTTTGGTTAAATTTTTCCATAATATATAATATGGTTTCATGAGTTTTCAAATTGTTCGAAGAAATCTGTCATTATGTACGAATTAATACTGTCACGTTACCGGCGACCAATCAAAACACTTCCCGCGTAATCCTGCGAAAAGGTATCGCGAACTCGGTCGACAAAAAAGATCGTCTATAATTTTTCTAACCATAACCACCCCATGCCCATATCAAGTAATTTTCGTTTGTATCCAGGGATATTTGATGCGAATAATCTTCAAATAAAATATTACTTCAAAATACTATATAGTATTAGTATTAGTATTAGTATTAGGCATTATTCTAAAATATAATTTCGAAGATTATTTGAGCACTGGTACGAGCATTGGTACGAGCACTTTGCTCGTGATAAATTTACAAAATTATCGTTGTCATTCATAAAACAATGGTCCACGTGTTTCTCCACAACCATGACAGTTAATAAAGTATTGAACTTACCTTGTTAATTCCTGATCGTGGAGCCAGGATTGGTATCGTCTGCCGGAATCATAGAGTGGCTTTCGTCTCACTACCAGACGTTGCACCGTGAATTTTTCACAGAGAATTTAATAATTTTATAGAGAAAACCATTAATGAAACACGCGTTTAAAGCACGAAGCGGCTAATTGTGTAAAGAGAGCGAGAACGATACAGGATACTGGAAACGACCGACCCGAGCCGCTAGCACGCACCGACTGAACGCGAACAGAAATCTGGTATCGGCCACGGGCAGCAATCTCCCTAACATCATCCCCACCATACGACCGACTGCGAACAGAACTCAGCAGTTATCCAGATGAATTTTTATCTCCACCATTATTTCAATAATATTATATATTTTTTATTTGAAATAGTTGCATTAAGTATTATTTTTTGCAATTGAATTGTTTTATCAAGGGCAGTTGTTGTTAATAAACGATTTTCAATTGGAGTTTCTTTAACGAACACAATACTAGACGATACATTATTAAGATGTAACATCTGTCTTTTTTGACTTCCTTCCATTTAAAATATTATCACCACACTGCAAAATGGAGTTCTTATTCTCCACGCGATAAGCGTATAGAAATCACCTGTTTTCTTATCCGAAAGTACCTAATGGTTGAACAGGTGTGTAATTAAAAATACCATGTAGCTATTGTTATAACATTAAGTAGGAAATATATGACGTAAAGTAAATAATTGATCAACACTAACTGTTAATTATTAGAAAATAAAAGTACTAATCTAATATCTAAAGGTAATGCATATAATATAATGGTTCTATGCAGCTGAAACTATAAATTATTTTACTAATGTTACTGTAATTGATTTTTAATTACTTTGACTTAATGGAACAATATAAACGTAATGATAATAATAGTAAATAACAAAGTACCAAACATTTATTACATTTCCTTTCCACGTGACAACGTCCCATTAACAAGTATAGTGAGTATACCCCACCATTAATTATTCAACAGAAGAGGGGATATGCAGGCATATTTAAAGTCCGTGCGAAAGCTGCAGGGGGTCACTTTTGCCGCCTTCGTCGGCAAAGAAAGAACAGTTCATGCATGTTTTTTAATAGGTTATCTAAGTATATTTCTTTCATTCTTTATATTGGATTTAATTTTTGCAGTGTGTCAGTCTGTACTTTATTGTAGATGGAATATAAATGTAACTTTGGAGTACTATTAGATTACGTTTTGAACATTAAACTGCTAGAGCCATCTACTCACAAAAAACTAAGATTATAGTAACAAATGACAGTCGGTAATTTACCGGATTATGTAGTCATTTCTTCCCACTTTTATGGTGCATCTTGCTGCATTTATTGAAAGTAATTTTACATATTAAATTAATATTCGTTTTTTTTATTCATTATTCAGTTAGTTTTTTCTTTTGTATTTATTATTTAAACGTTTATTTGAGTATTAAAGTTTTGAAGTACATAGTTCATAATTTCCACCAATGGCAGTTACTTACCACCAATCGACCAATCAGAATCGTCGGTATTAGTCACGTGCGCAGGACTAGCTCCGCACGTCACTTCCCCTTCGTAACTTCGTCCTGTGGGCACGCGTTCGTGAAAAGTGAGAATAAATTGTATTAAAATATTATATTAAATTGTGTTCGTGATATAAAAAGTACGAAATACAGAAAGACAACTTGGAGAGAAGTCGAGCTGCATGATGTCGGTCATCAATTTCACATAGTCTTCAGAAATACGTGAGATGAAATTTTTTACTCATGTCGTGAATTGAACTTGAGATTGGAACAGCATTATCTGAACTATTTCCCTTTTATATCGATAATTTCTTGAACACCGTTGATGTTTTGATTTTCAGGCGAGAATTCAACAACGTTCTTCGTGGAGAGTCGTGCTATGTCATGAGACTTCTCTGTTTACGTGCTTCGGTTCCATGCCGAGCTCTCTCGAACGTCCGCCATAGGAGACGGTGGCGACATTCCAGTCGCGAACGGCGAGGTGATAAGACATATTTGAGAGCGTCCTTCCATATACGCAGTAGTATAGTGCACCGATGACAAGATGTCCCATGAGACAAATGCAAATGCGTGCTTCTCATGGGACATCTTGTCATCGGTGCACAGTACTTAGGTACGCATACATTACCTATTATAATATTTTACATAAATTATAGACCTCGATCGTTTGTTAATCAAGTTTAATTGCTATTGGTTAAATTTTATTTATACAAATTTATATTTCTTATTTGTTACAGATATTTTGTTGCTACTGAAAAGACGCTACGCAATACGATGCTATGACACTTAACATTGTTTGATATTTTGTAAGGAATTGGTAATGTTTTAATTTATTGCAATCAATTATTAACATTTATGATCACTTTTTTTATGGAGTCGTTGTTAATTGTAAGAATTTTTGATAATTAATTAGTACCAACGTCAAGAAAGGAAAAATTAGAGAAATTGTTTTTCTTTGATTAATTAACGGAAAAAAAAACAACTAATTTTTCATTTTATTAAATAATTTCAACCAGTAATTTGATCCGTGTTTTAAATTACAACAAAATTGAAACAATTTGTATTCCACTGCAAATGATTGCTTCTCTTCTGCAATTATTTGATTATATTTTCATTATTTTAAACAATTTGTTTTTGTTAAATCGTAGTAATTATATTATAATGTATAACTTTTGATGCAAGTTTTAATTAAAATAGGAAACGCGTTATTAAATCACATGCTGATTAATTATTGGACTTTGTTTATTGACAAAAATTTAAATAATTTATAAATCACGATATAATAGAGTTTCCAACAATTTGTAGTACGCTTACAATTTTAATAACGAGAATCCTCTACTTTAATAAAATAGTCTGTTATATTTAGTAGCAATTGATCTTTATTCCTGTAATATTCATTGAAATAATTATCTACAATTATTTCAAACATTTCAATATTACGATATAATCTAGAATCAACGTTTAACTTTATCAGTATTTGTGTTCGTTGAAGATATTTCACGAACATAGATATGTTCATTTACAGGTCATTAATAACAGTATTTCCTTAATAAGAAAAATGTTGTTTTTATATACATATCTCCACCCATCCCCAACCCACTAATCTTTTTTTCCAGGAACTGTTGTGGCCGCGCGCAAGGCGGTCGGTAGAGTCAGTGTTTGTACGAACAAATCCAATGTTTTGATTTTTTCAAGGGTGAACTGGCCCTGAATAGAGTTCCGTTTGTACAATTAGGAATTACGCGAAAGTAGAGTCAGTGTTTGCTACGTATTATAAAATATTTTCTAGAGCATCGCGGCTCTGATTGTTCTTTTTCCATCGCGGAAGTAGAGTAAATACATCACTGAAGAGGAGTCTTGGGCGTTGCTCCATAAGGAAAGAGTGTAAGTATCTTATTACTTTAATTAATTTTAATTAAAATAGAATAATTTACAATTTCAACGTTTAATAATTGAGAGTCCTTTTTAATTGCTGTAAAATCCAAATTCATATATAATTTTATTAGAATAAAAATTGATAATTTGCAAAATTAACCGTAATTCTGTTTTGTTTTGTTACAGATGAATTTTTTGATATTGCCGAGTTCCTGGATATCCTGATGATGGCTTTCTTCACGACTTCCGTCTTGGTACGTCATTTAATTGCTTTTTATTAAAATAGAATAATTTACAATTTCAACACTTGATAATGGAGATTTCTTTTTAATTGCTAATATTTTATTAAATCCAACTTTATATATAATTTTATTACAATAAGAATGGATTATTTTCAAAATTAACCGTAATTCTTCTTTTTTTGTTACAGATGGACATCCTTGATGCCTTTCTTCAGGACGTCCGTCTTTTCCTACAAGGCAGCCTCCTACCTGGTGTTTGACTGTCGGAAGAAGAGTATATCTGCGAACGGTGAGTCGCATGTTTTATGGTTCCTCTGGTGCCCAATCATGTCGTAGGACGAATGGTCCGAATCGACACGGGTTACCAGTTGTATACGTGGTTGGCGAGCATAGTGACCATGGGTATGATTATACTCATGTGTAGTGACATTTTTATTGTGTTTCATTTCATTTATTTTAGGCTAGGTCTTCTTGCACTTCGCGTTTAAATATTACTTCTATTCCACATATTCCGATAGATATTTATGAAATATTTGAATGCTTTTAAATATTCATGATACAATTTTATAATAAAACGTGGAATATGAAATATTTTCAAATTAAGTAAATACAGAAACAATTTTATTTAGTTTTTCTTTAACGGAGAAGTCAGATACTATCTGATTTAGTTATCATAAAGATTCAAATCGATATAATATTGGTTTTATAATATGTATACTAGATATACATATTAATTATGCTTTTACATTAATTTAATTACATTTTACATATTGTAAATTCAAATATAATTTGAGGATTTTTTCCGAGTAGTAAAGTTTAATTCCTTCTATAGCAAACTTTAACTTATTTACACGTTCATGCAAAATTGAACAATTTATGTGCAAGAAGACAATTCGTGACGGGTAGATTTCCAAGCCAGAGTGATATATTTCAACACATTTTGCGTATTCTTGAAAATTTACTCTGAGGAGGAAGTCGCCCGAGGATGTTATATTAATTTTCACAATAAATTCTTGTTTCATTGCAAAGAATTCTTAATTAGAGACATTCAATTCTTTTTTATTAAAATTTTGCATTTCTTCAATTAGTGTTGCGAAAAATTTCCAGCGCGAGAGTAAATATGACGATGCACTGACTAGTATTCGGTGGGAATCCTTTTGGTTTTTAAACTCAATCCTTTTTATTATTTAATTAATCAAATTAGTTACAAAGATTCCGCGGCATAAGACCGTGAACATCATCTCTGGGAGATATACCCATGCATTACTAGGCCTTTGCAGGCGCAGCTTTAGAATACGGAACATATGAAAATATGTTACCATATTCTAAACTGTAGTCCTTTTGTCTATACTATGGGCGTCCGCAAATCTGACACCGTTGGATGCAACGTGTTGGACGGGCGGGTAGCGCTCTTAGCGAAGGGGTGCACTCTGTCCTGGCGTTACGACGTCCAGGCGGGGTGGGTGGTATGTAGCGTCTGGCGTAAGTCTAGGGGGCGTGAGACCCTTCGTTGCCAGCTGATATTAGCAGTGCACCATGTTTGCGTCATAGTTGCTCTATTATGCTTTTCTGTATTTGTTATTAAAGCTTTATATTTAC